CGGGACTCTTTGTTAGGATGCGAGCTCACGCCCCTACTATATCCTTTGATTTACAATGCATCCCAATGTTTGGGAATTTTTTTAAGAAGTTAAAATGAGTGAGCACCTTACAGGTACTTCAAACTATAGATGGTAGAAAGAGAGGTGCGACTAGTGAAGGGTTAATAAAAAATATATAGGTATTTTTTAGTGGGTTGATTATATTTTTTATTGGCCGTTTTAAAATGTATTTTTTTAATTTCCTGAGGACCAAAGAGAAATTGTATTTTACCAATTTGTTCCGTCCATTGAAAGCGATCAAGTTAATGAGAGATTGTAACCAGCCCATCCGGAGGAGCTGTCGAAAACGATTGATATTTTTTGGAGGCAAATGATTTTCTTAATTAATTTTGTGTGGAACACCGTAAAGTTTTAATAATGGCGTGTTACTTGCATAATTAATTAGAAGACTAGACAGGTTTATATCACTTATAAAAAAAATATAACATAAATAATGCCATAAAGTAAAATTTGTTTTACACATTAGCAATTAGATTTAAAAGATTAAACGACAATTAAAAAAAAATTACATAATTATATGATTGCACGAACATCATCAGTCACATGTAAAATGTCGTTTACATAACGTGAATTGTTACGTTACTACAAATGTATACAATTAAAAATTCCAACAGATATATTTAATAGTATTGTGCTACAATTTAAAACCGTTGCCGATTTAAATGTAATGGCTTTTGCCCTTTTTTTAATAGTATTTTTTTTTTTGTTTAGGCGACAGTTTATATGAAATAAACTGTTGCTATTCAACGAAATGTTTTAGTGTGAATATTTTATTTTATATTCTACCAAATGAAGTTCAAGTATTATATGTTTTGGTTTTATAACTGGGAGAGTCCTGTTCGGGCCTAGTTTGGTCGCCGAGTAGGGTGCAGGGCATTTTTGCCATGTATAGCGGAAAGGGGGGGCAGCTTCTTCTCCCAGCCAGGTTGCCCCTGCTCATAATAGATTCGAGTGGAGGAGTAATGTAGAGTGGAATTTTTTATAATGAGTCTTAACGAAATTTAACGAAGAATCCGGAATTAATGACGAATCCGAATTTAATAATAAATGCTGATTTCAAAGTTTGAATTTCAGAAACTGTAATCTGACTTTAAATAAAAATCCGAATTACCGGTTTAAACTATAATATTTGTGTGGTACTCGGGTAAAAGGTCTTAAGTCATAAATAACTATTTTTTTTTAAAATAACCTATTTCACAAACAAATCATTTTTTTTACACAATTAGCACTTGACCCCATTTTCGCAATTTTTGCACTTAACACCTTTTACCCGAGCACCACAAATTTATAATCAATGTTATAACTTACCTACTTATACTTAAACAACAAGCTAATAAACGTTTGTCATTTATAACTTTTTTTATTAGTTTAAAAAGCATTGTACAGAATTGTAATATTAATGGTTTTCAATTATGCGTCAATAAGAAATGTGTAATTATATGAATTAAAACAATTTATAATTATCAAATCACTGCACTGTGCCTATTTACAAATATAAAGAATTTTTTAGCGTGCACAATTAATATGAAAAATGCTTTTAATCTTTGGATTTTGATCTTATATAAAGTAATGTTAAACACGTTATTAATTGAAAATTTGTTGATGCTTGAAATAAAATAATATATTGGCGTTTTGCAGAAAAGTATTGGCAACCTGTTACTTTGTAACAAATACTGTATAACAACTATACATAGATAAAAATTAGAATAGTGAGGAACCCGCTGTATTTTCATATTTAATTTTTGCATGGTTCCTCGCTAGTCGCTACATTATTAGTATTACAGCGCCCTCGAGAGTTCCTGATATCCAATGTGTAAAAGCATTGATATTCGCAGTCATATTTATAATTATTATGCTTTCAGATTTTACAATCAGTTTTTCAACAATGATTTTCACAATGATTTGTGGAAACAATAGCCGCATCATAACTTAAGTCAAAACGGGTAATATATTATTCTTTCTAGGTGAAAAAAACGTTTGCTGTTATATAAAACTATAAAAGACTTGTAGAATATAATCAGAATATAATATATAGGTATGAAAAGTTATCTTGAATTTTATAGCGTCGGCGGTTAGAGCGAGGCATATTATTATAGGCATAACTACTTTTTTCCATTTCCCATTACACATGGCTGTCGCCGGCAAACCGTCGGCGGTGTACCTACATTTAAGGCTAATGCAAGAAAAACAATTCATCCTGCGCCGCTGCAGCTGTACTATGATGCCTCGGACTCGCCTTAAACGATCCAGAAGAATTACATACGTACCTAATACTTAAGTCTTAAACTAAAAAAAAAAAAGAATGGAAGTTCCCAAAACATTTTTCTTATTTTGATTAGACCCGAACGGTTCAATCCGCCGTACGTGACGACCATGTGCGTTCCTAAATGCTCATAATGACCGTTTTGTACCATTTGGTAACTGACAATAATCATAATTGTTGTTATTATTATTATTATTATTATCGTTGTACGAGCGCTCGAAAATTCTTACATAATTTCTTAGGGAGGAAAAAATCATTTCGATCTTCCAATGACATACGTTAAAAAGTCATTACTCGCTTTGTATCGCAGGTATAGGTAATATGTATAATATTGTAGATATGTAAGTTGAGAAATATAATAATTGGTGGCGCGTCGTCTGTAAAAAACTAGACCTTCTATTATTATATAAGTTATAATATAATCTAAAAGTGGTTTATAATATTATAGGTATATAATATACAGGATCATCGCTTAGCTTAATGATAACTGATAAAAACATATATAATATCAATTCGAGCCTCACGTTTTAAAACACAATAGTATGTTACGCTCATGCCTCATATAGATATATACTTTTCAAATGTATTTGTGTAGTTACTCGTATAGGTCATATTATTTTTTTTCCAAGCTATAACTTTGGTAATTATTTAAGGAAAAGTTGATAATACATAATAAACATAAGAACGTTAAACAACAATTATTTTTTTTACTCAGTACAAATAGGTATAATATATTCATGTAATAAAACAAAAGAACCGTGTAGGTACCTACTACCTGAATCGTGTTTCTACCTGATAAAAATTTAATTACACTGTACACTTAATGAAGGTTTTAAGTGTAAATGCAACCGTAGAGCGAATCGGTAGGCACGTTAAAATACACTCTGTTGTATTACCTATGAGTTATTATAACATAATATTATAATATAGTAGTGTATAATATGTATAAATGAAAATAACATTGTATACTCAATTTTTATTATATATTTTTTAATAGATACCATATTGTTGCATATTGTGGAACATATAGGTACTGCCGCAATTAAAATTAGCACATTAATAAAAGATTTCTAAACCTAAATGTCTCGTACTATTACAATATACTATTTTAACAATATTAGTAAAAAGACAATTATACAACAGCTCCATAATATACTTAATATTATATATTAAGTATGTATTTAAAGTATAATAATAACAAATCAATTAAAGTTGTACAATAAATCACTGGTCATTTTAACAAACAATCATGTCTATACGTCAAAATGAAAAATCAATAAATATCAATAATAAACAAATATCACTTAGGTACAAAGCGGTGCCTAAGTATATAATTTAACTAAAAAGTGTACATCGTAACAATATTACGATTGATATATATGTGTAACAAAATAAATCTTTTAAATATATTTTATACATTTTTTTATGTAGGTATATAATTCTGTAAGGATTTTATATTATAGTCATTGCCCGAAATTGGGGTGTTACAAATTAAATGTTGTACATAATTAGTAATACTAAGGGAAACCTCCACTCTAGGAAGGGAGAGCGAAGGCTCTATTAAGGCTGCTTAGGATATTTCCGTTCCATATATATAAATATTATTAAGGAGGAAGTAGATCACTATGTTTTTTTTTGTCTAAACGGTTTTATACGCAAGTGGTTTTAATGAATTTTAATGTGTTATGAATGTTTAGTGGTTCGTTGATAAGGCGTTCGGCAAAGTAATACGATATTTTGGCTTCTGTTCTTTCTTCATTAAATTATCGACATTCTAATAGCTGTAGGTGTTTGACAGTGGCTCGAGTCACACATAGATACCCAGTTCAAGCTCTGTTCTGTTTATGAGGTCTTTATGAGTGTGTTATAACTTATAAGCATGTCCTAATGGTGTCATTATGACGCCTTGTTCTCTAGGTAAATTCGATGAACATTTATTTTGGTTCCATATTTATTTATTTTTCGTGCAACCGCAAACCCGGCCTATAACTATCTTATTTTTTAGTTAGCACTAAGTGGCAGTCTCATATCTATTCTCCCTCATCCATCGTAACGATCGTCTACGGCATCATCATTCATCTTCATTAGTGTAACGCAACATTATTCATAAACGATTAATGATGCGTTTAATTACCTATATAGAATTCTCATGTAAATGTAATAGCCAGAAGTAGGCATTCGAGGCGGGCAAATCTGAGTATAAAAAGTGACCACTGGAGTCACGTATAATAAACACGGCGCGGTTGAATCATCGAGACGGCGACGCGACGGCATGGAAGGAATGAGGAGGATCGAAGAGGAGAAAGACGCGATTACGTTAATTTGGTTTTTTTTCGGCGAGGCCAGATTAAGGAGGATGCTCGTTTTAATGAAGACGCACCGAGTGCCGATGGACTGTGTTTCGTAAGCGCGGGGAGGCAAGAGGTAGGAGGCAGAGATGCGGCGGTGGCGGCGGCAACAGAGAAGCGGAGACGAAGAAATTATTCCGCCGCCGCCGATCCGACTTAAATGGGTTTTAATATCCACACGGTGTTCCGCCACCCGGCCGCGTACTGATTTCCCGTCGGCCCGCCGGCCAATCGGGACACGAACGAGGCGGTGCCCCGCCAAGACCGACCCGCCCGCCGGGTTAACCGGCCACGCGCGCGCCTTCCGGCCTCACAGTCCGTCGCGCACCGTGCCCGTCCGCACTGCAGCCACTCCGCTCCAGAGATTTCACAACTCCCGGATTAGACGAGATTGATGACGGCGACGCATCCATCACCACTCTATTTACGTATTTTTATTGTTGTCATCGCATCGTAATATTATTGTTATCGATTTGCCGTGCGTGTCGCATCTCGTTCGTTTCGCATATAATAAACGACAATTACGCACACGGTACTCGTTTACAGATATTACAGCTAATCCTACGGCGTGATCTTGATACATTATTTTCGTTGTTGACTGTTTTTAATTAGTATTAAAAACAGTGTCACACACTACATTTGTCATGGTCGATGAGACAAAGTGCAGTTCGGTCGAAGACGGTACGACGTCTGATGAAGACCGCGACGTACGCGTGGACTCAGGCGGTTCTGACGAGGAATTGTGCATGGACGAAGAAGACGAAGACGACGTGTCACCCACTTCGGCGCCCGGTGCCCTTACGTTTGGCATATCGCGTCTGTTGGGCGGCGGTGGCGGAGACTCGCCCGGTAAGCGATCGGTGGCCACCAGCGTAGCCGCCACCGTGTCGGGTCCGGCCGAAGCCCTAGCCTCGTTGTACGCAGCTGGCCACCACGCAGCCGTTTTTGGGTTACACCATCTTCACCAACAGCACCAACACCACCAACTTATGGCCGGCAAGCCGGACGACAAATTCCTCCAGTACTCGGGCGCCGCGGGCGTCATCAAAGTACCCGCTCACCGACCTCTCCCCAACAGTGGCTCACCCGGGTCTCTACCGTCTCCTTGGGCTGCCGCCGCCATGGATCCCGTGTCCTTTATGCAGCGCAACGCTTTCCTATTTGCCGCCGACAAGAACCGACTGGCAGCGGGTAATTATTATTAACTGAAAATCCATAATTATATAGATATTAATTATTTTCCTACAACGCAAAAGTCAAATATTTGTACACGCACTAGGAGCCACCGGCTAACAACTTATTTTTTACGTTTACCATACATATTACATATATTATTTAAAGTAATAGGTCTTTTAAAAGGACATAAATCTATAGTCAAAAATAAAGTAGACTATAGCCAAATCGTAACAAAAGTTATTGGATGGCCTGGGCTGAAGGACATAGGGCAAGTTCCTCTAGATCGGTTCCATTTTAATTCATCTGTATTACCTATACTTTTAAATCCTGGATCGGGTTAATCATAAATAAAAAAGTGGTTTATTTTAATTTTATAGACCGCCATACTCTACATCAGCTCACTCACAATTTTATACGTTATTTTATCAATAAATTTTAACTTTATATAAAAAGTAAACTTAAGATCGAACGCTACCTCATGATATACGACAACTAAAATTTTAAGGATCCAAAAAACATATTGGTTTTATATTTTTGTATGTAAAAACACAAAGCTCGTTAAAGTAAATAAAGGATAAAAGGAAGAGCTAAATAATTTTGATTCATTATTTTGTACAAATATTTAAAACATTTATTTTTAAAACTCTCCCACTTTCCAAAACATAAAATATGTATAATGCAATTTTTAAACTAATTGTTAAAATGTAATAATATAAAAGTTTTGTAAAAATTATTGTTATGGTGATATATAAGAAGATAATATTTAAGAAATAATAAGTAACACCGAATATAATTAATTAAATATTTTGGTTGACTGTATTATACCTAAAGTATGATACAGACTACACCACTGATGTATGCTATTCGCATTAATTTATCTTGTTGAACATCTTTTAGCGATTCTTTTAACAAGTATACCTATTAACAATTCTATTTTAATTAGATTTTTTTTACATGAAATTCGCCAATTTTATACACTTATACTAATTTAATTGTGCAATATCTTGTAATAGTGACTATTAGTGTACTATTAAATAGTCTATTATCCATTATTCATCATCTGCACGCTAGGTTATATATTACACATAATTTATTTAACGCATTTAATTGGCTCCACTATAAGGACAAATTAATTAAATGATAACTGTGCACGTTTTACGCAATACGATATTAGTTAAATAAAAACAAATTATTTTCAACATTACAATAATTACAGTTTAAGAATTCATATTAAGCAGTCACCCTACAAGTCTTTATTATAATTATACCTTAATAGTTGTATTATACATTTGAAATTAAAAATGTTTTATATTGTATAAACGTCGCCGCCATGTTTTACTTACCAGCGGGATCAAGTATAACAACTGTTTAAGGGAAGAGTGCCACTCGTGTGGTTTATATATATATGTATATAAGTAACTATAGCAAACGCTTGAAGAAGTTTTTTTTCTTCCAGAGCGCGTAACTAATGATTTTAGTGGTATTGTAATGCTCCATTTTCTTTAAGTTATTGCAGCAGTAAAAATTAGAACCAACCGCGTTTTAATCTTGGCCGTCGTCCAATTAATTTGTATTTTATTAAAAGGGTAAAAAAAAAGTGTAACGTAAACGTCTTTAATTTCAATTATAAAAAGAAATTTAATTGCAGACAATTAGCTAGCCGTGCTAAAATTATGACACGGCTGAACGGTCAGCTACAGTTAAAAGTGAACAAAATATATCAATTAATCAATACGCTATACTATATTATTGCAAGGTTTAAAATATATAAAAACACATCATTGACACACACACACATATATATATATAATTGCTATATACATTTAAAATAAAACACGTTTTTTTTTTGTTTTTACGTGCGGCATAATATTTAACAGCATTGTAAGCAGTTATAAACTATATAAATATATTACGGCTACGACTACCATCTCTAATGCATTAGTGTAACAATAATTGAAATTATATATTTACATATAAACAGTATGAATAGAAAATATGCGCTCTGATAAACATTCTAGTTTAAATTGAATATAACCACTGTGCAGTATTCGACTTGTTCTTCCATCCATATAGTTTCGCGTTATTGGCATACAATATTATAGTATAACATGTATTAGATAACAATATATATATATATATATATATATATATATATATATATATGTATAAACATAAGCATATACTTGCGGTATACGAGGCTAGCTTATAAAACGCTTGATGACCAATACAACTATAAATGTATGTAGTATGTACTTTTGAGTGGTTGATTTGTACGTCGAAATGTCGGGGGTCATTAAATTTAATATTTTTAGGTTACTATAGTATTATTGACTGTATACCTGATCTACTGGGATTCAGTCTAAGTATTGTTATTGAAAACTTCGATTTCTTAAGGGCGCAGACACGTTGAATTGTCGGCTTATTGTGGGGTGATTTTTTTGTATCTTGTGGATGTAAAATCTGACTGTAAAACGCCCCTGGACACAATCGCGTGTTCTCGGCTACCGGAGTTACCCAGACACACGGTTAATTCCAAACGGCCGTCTCGTGTTTTGTATTTACACGTGTATACAACCTTTACACACCTGTATAATATGTGTGTACGGCGGTATAGAATAATATATAATATACCTATAAGACCGATCCTAATTACAAGGCAACGGCATCTTCTTGATATCCGCGATCGTTCGTCGGCAGATTATAAAATCCAATATACAATAATAATATTGTATTTATGTATACCTACCTGGCGTTATGTACCTTCTTACTATCAACGGCCGGTAGTCATGCACCGGTGTATTATATACTTTTAGGAAAACAATTTAATCCTATACCTACTCTGAACGTTTTTCTGTGCGCCTAATTATACACACAGAGATTTCCGGAAACGGATACTTTTATCCTATTCTGTAATTATTTGGTAACCGAACGGGGCCCGCACACAAACGCCGAGTTCCCAAAAATGATCCCTGTGATCTAATCAACATGATATCTTTAATGGGGTTTCTACTTTCTATAGCGTATGACTGCATCCGGCATCGCATTAAACAGTTCAACTTTTTTTTAACAAAATCTATGGTATTAGATTAAATATAGGTACATTGAAAACTAATATTAATTAAAAATAAATAGTAATATTTAATAGATATTAAATACTCTGTAGCATATTTTAATATTTACTATATTAGTCTTATGACAGCATATCGTTAAAAATGTTGGCTTCCTTTTTTTGTATAGTTTTCATTGTGAATGTTATATCTTTTTCTACCACTACTTTGTTGTATTTACAAACTCAACACTATAGAATATTATCAGTAGAATGTTTAAAATTTTGCTATCCTAAATATACCGGTGCTCCCTGCAGATAACTTTTCTTATTCATATACATACTAAACGGCTAATGACATACACATATATATATATTTTGTCATGTATAGAAACAAAAAGTAATATCGAAAGAAAATCTAAACTAGAAATCTTAATTTGGCCATAAGTCAATGTAGGAAAATTAGAGTAGTAATAACATGTTTAGGGTTACTAAAATTAATTTAACAAAATATAAAAAATATATTCATAATACGGCATCCCCTAATTACACTACTAATTATTATATGTCCTCTAGCTTTCTCCATCCTTGTTATTATTGTACTGAGTTTATTAAAATTAACTTTGACCTGGAATATTCTAATAATAGCATCTAAAAGTTAAAAAATAGACTTACTTATTTTATGTTTTTTTTAATAACTCTTTGTAAATCAATATCGTACTTGTAACATCTGAATGTGATGGGTAATCGCAACAACTTTTCTTGGCATGATTGGCTAATTTATATGTTTATCACGTACTCTAGCTGTATACTCGATGTTTCGATCTTGTCGGCTCGCTACAAACCGGAAAGACAAACGGGGCTTAGGCATTTTCGCACGTTTTCTTTACAACCGAGAAATGGAGGTGGATGTGTGATAAATATTAACCGTTTCACGAGTAAAGCAAAAACGCGCCAGTCGGTGGCGGTTAGTCTATAAAATAAAATAAAACAGCTGCCAAAAAAACCATATACCTATTTATGTATATATATAAACAACAACTGTAAGAATATGCGTTGGGAATAAACAAACAGGTGCCGTCTCCGTTTATTGGTCAGCCGGAGCAAATGGTGGTGGCTGTGACGGCAATATCGGTTCCATAAAAGTTTATAAACCTGTCCGATCCCCTGTTCCTCTAGCACCCATCAACTTCGATTCTACACAAAAACGGTTTTTTACGATTGTGGCTTGTGGTACGTTTTATATCAACATAATATCATATACCTACAGTATATGATATAATTCATAACACAATAAAGCTTGTATATTTTAAAATAATATAGCGTATATCCATAACATCATATGGCTAGTGATGGATACCAATAAGAAAATAGTCAGGTGGAGAACACCGCTAAATTTTAGCAAGTTTATCTGGGAACTATAAAATATAATGAAGCCTATTTTTATACGTAATATAACACTTCGGAAACACTGACTGTATAGATATAAATTGTTAATTAGTGACATTAAACATGATATAAATAACGAGTTGGTTATAAAAAAATAACGAGTTAAGACTTAGGAGTGGTTATGGTAGGTTTGTTGCGTAACACTTACAGTGCGCGACAAAAAGATAAAGGCACAACATTTAATCAAATAAAAGTCTATATTTATCTCATGGAACTAGTTATTATTAATAAAAATACAATTTATAGATTCTATGTACTACCAAACTTCAGGTTATACCCAAATGATAGCAATCCTATCTTATTTTCTTGATCATAAACTAATAAATAAAGATTTATCGATAATTTATTAGGTTTTTGTTGCGACAAAATTATAAAGGCAAATATCTATATATAAACAAACTATTCGATATTACATCATTTATTATATTTATTAATGTTTATATACATAATTTTAATATATTAATATTTAGTGGAACCTCCATTAGCACGAATAGTGGCAAAAATTCTATTTGGAATTGTG